TTCCAGTCAAGTGTTGAAATAGTCTTCCCGACTAGTCCTCAGTTAATGAGATTACTTCAATTAAAATCTTCTAAAAGTTGCAGTTAGTCAAAATTTTAGGAAACTTGAAGATTTTTTTTAAAATTTCTTTGAAAGGGAGAGTTGAGAGGGAGAGACACTTTTTATCTGCTGATTCACTCCCCCAAATGGCCTCAAAGACCTGGGCTGTGCCAAACCAGTCTCCCATGTGAGTGCTAGGGGTTCAAGTATGTAGGCCATCTTTTTTTTTTTTTTTTTAATTTATTTTTTTGACAGGCAGAGTGGACAGTGAGAGAGAGAGACAGAGAGAAAGGTCTTCCTTTGCCATTGGTTCACCCTCCAATGGCCGCCGCGGCCGGCACGCTGCAGCCGGCGCACCGCGCTGATCCGATGGCAGGAGCCAGGAGCCAGGTGCTTTTTCTGGTCTCCCATGGGGTGCAGGGCCCAAGCATCTGGGCCATCCTCCACTGCACTCCCTGGCCACAGCAGAGGGCTGGCCTGGAAGAGCGGCAACCGGGACAGAATCCGGCGCCCCGACCGGGACTAGAACCCTGTGTGCCGGCGCCGCTAGGCGGAGGATTAGCCTAGTGAGCCGCGGCGCCAGCCTATGTAGGCCATCTTTTATTCTTTTCCCAGGTACATTAGCAAAGAGCTAGACCACAGTTACAGCAGCCATGACTTGAACTGGCACTTACATGGAATGTTGGTGTTGTAGACAGCAGCCCAACCAGCTGTGCCACAACACCAGCCCCCCTTAGGAAGTCAGCCATACAGTTTGTCAGCTACCACTATTTCCAAGATTTATGACCAGAAGACAACTTAGTTAATTCTTAATGATTCTAACAAAAACAGATTTTTTCTAGTGTTTGAAACTTTTACTATCATGTAAATAATAAATAAATTATAGAACCTCTCAGTATTTTAAGTATAGATGAGTGAAAGTTGGAAATGAAAGAATTTCTATATTTAAAAAACTAATCTTTTATTGTCTGCTTTAGTCACTTACATATATTTCCGTTTGCTGAGGTCTAAAGTTCCACTGGAGACTTGCGTGCACATCTGCGTTAAAGGTAACTTTAATGATTCGATCCTTAACAGGTACCATGTTCTCAATCTGGTCTGATGCATGACCCGCTACTGCTGATCCTCCAAGTCCAGTAGTCTAGGAAAAGATACTAAATACATTAAACAATACTTATAAGTGTTCATTTATTTATTGTATAAAATTTTAAAAACAATTTAATAACCCAGTTTGAGCCAACTTTACATACTATCACTGGCCACTCCCTGTAACTCCATCAATTGTTTTGAGCATTTTCGGGGTCCCAAGAGCCTGTTTTGTTAAAAGTCATTCTGTTTTTCAGCGATCCCTTGGTTACCTTGTACAGTCGAAAATGAGTCATTTGGAAAAATCACTTTTTTTGGATAAGTTAACTATTATCACCAACAGTAGAGCTCAGAATTTGGTTTACCATTAAACACACTTCCCTTTGTTGCTAGTATTTTATATTAACTATTACTCCTGAAAAGAAATCAGATTTCCCATGAGCTGGTCATTTCAATAAAAATACCTAAGATCTATTACATATCACAGCTTTTGTAGTCCAAATTAGGTTATAGTTTCACTTTTATATTCCGCTATTCTAAGGCATCTTAGGTATTCTCCCATGTTGGCTGATATTTTTTTCCTGTACTTCTCTGCATAGTTGAGTTTTTATAGTTATTGCTAACCAGAGCACCTAATTCATTTGGCTACTGAATCAACTAGTAATACATCATCAGAATAATGTCCAACACTTCTTATATTTGTCATCATTAATTATTTCCTTATCAGATGCTTTAAAAATCCTTACTTCCAGGGTCGTCATGCTTCTGATGCTTGAGGTTGCCAAATTCTGGTTTCCGGATAACTTACCTGTTACTATACTAGAGAAAAAAATACCGAATTTGAGGCTAGGAGAAGACTCTCATGTAGAGATAGGGTAATCTGCTTCTTATTACATAAGTCACTTAGCTTTCCTTGACTGCCATGCAGCATTATCAAATTACAATATAACCCTAAAAGATGCACATGAGTGCAAGCCTTTAATAAAAATCGATATATCCTTCTGCCTAAGAATCCTATAATGTTTGAGCTTACTGATGGAACTCCTTTTTGTAAAGAATCTCAGTCACTTGAATACCGGGTGTCCTCCCTCAATAAAGACTCCTTAAAATATTCCTTGAATTTAGATTTTTCGTATTTCTTTTTTTTTTTTTTAAGATTTATTTATTTATTTATTTATTTTTTTGACAGGCAGAGTGGACAGTGAGAGAGAGAGACAGAGAGAAAGGTCTTCCTTTGCCATTGGTTCACCCTCCAATGGCCGCCGCGGCAGGCATGCTGCGGCCGGCGCACCGCGCTGATCCAATGGCAGGAGCCAGGTACTTCTCCTGGTCTCCCATGGGGTGCAGGGCCCAAGCACTTGGGCCATCCTCCACTGCACTCCCTGGCCACAGCAGAGAGCTGGCCTGGAAGAGGGGCAACCGGGACAGAATCCGGCACCCCGACCAGGACTAGAACCCTGTGTGCCGGCGCCGCAAGGTGGAGGATTTAGCCTAGTGAGCCGCGGCGCCGGCCAGATTTTTCGTATTTCTAAGTTGAATGCCTAAGGAAATTAAAATAGACAAAAAAGTAGAAAAGAGCACTAAAAAGACAACCTTGGCTCTAGTCTAGTTCTGCCACTGACTAGCTCCAAGAACTGAGTGAATCTTATTTCTTTGGGCCACACTTCACATGCTCATAAAATGTTAGATGACTATTTTATGTGATTACATAATACTTATTTCTGGATCTAAAATTCTACAATTAAGAAGTAACAGAAGGACTCTTGGAAGTATCACTGCTTGACTTTAGGAGTAAAAATTCATGGTTTTTCTTCTTACCCTATAATTTCATGTGAACACACACACACACACACACACTTCACTTTCTGAACCCTACCATTACTGACATTTTAGGATGGAAAATTCTTTGCTGAGGAATAATGTTGTGTTGGTTATTTAACAGCATCCCTAGCTCTGCCTACCAAGTAACAGTAACACCATAGCCCTCAACCCACAACCTCTGCCCCCCCACCCCCACAGGTTTTAACAACCAAAAATGTTTTCAGACATTGCTAAACTTTCCGCGGAAGACAAAATCACCTCTACACGAGCCCTGGATTTGGATTCAGTTCACCTTATGATTTAACCAAATGGTAGTTTGGGGTTCATGCTTGGTTCTGGGGTGGCCTCTGATGAAAAGCAATTCACTTTCTACACTCACCCTCCAGAAACCAAGCTACTCATAGTCCCACATAAATGCTGACATTTGGAGACTGCAAAGAAAAGCCCTTTTGACTTCTGCCACTTCACCATCTGAAAGAAAAGCTGATCACAAAGACAGCAGAACCCAGGCATTAAGAGCAGTGGCAGAAAAGAGCTATGAAAACGAACCATGGGGTAAAACACAAATTCCTAACTGCTGCCTATGCAGGTATCTTTGAAAATTACTGAGACATTTTTAATTGGTCAGGTGTGTGACCTGGGCATCAGGATATTTAAAAGCTCTCCAAGTGACTTCAACTTGGAACAAACTTCAGGAACCACTATGTTTATTAAACACTTTACTGAATGGACACATGTGGCATGACTTAAAGTGGAATCCCGTTTCCACCCTAGGCCTACTCAGAGTCTCAGGGGCACAGAACCCTGACATGTGCATGTAAGAAGTTCCGCAGGTGATCCTAAAGCCCAGCCAGCCGACGCTGCAAATTTAGAACCACGGAGAAATCCGTCAAATAGGCGAACTCTGACTCTGCCAGTGGTTCTCAAACCTCAGTCTCCCCTGAGCTGAGCTAGAGGACTTCCCACTGAACTCCAGGTGGCTGGTCCCGCCCCCAGGACTTCTGATTCGGTAATTCCGGAGTCGGGTCCCGGAGTATGAAGTCCTAACAGGTTCCCCAGAGATGTGGCTGTTGCTGGAGACGCGCTCAGAGCACTGCCTTGGAGCAGCGAACCAGATACATTCCGCCTTCCAAACCCTAATTTCTGCCTCAGGACGAACGAACAGCTAATCCCAGGGTAGCCACACCCATTTTCAGGGCTGTGGCTCGATGCCTGTAGAACATTCACGTCTTTAGAAGCGTGTAGGCAAGGGGGTACAGCCGACTGCTGGGTACCCGAGCAGAGGCCGTGCGTGGGGCTTTCTGGTGACCGGTGGCGGAACAGGGGATTTCAGCTCGGGGGCAGGTCTGCCACTAACTCCCTAGGTGACCTTGGGTCTTTCGAGTGTTTCCTCTCTGATACGTAACCTCGGGCATCCCTTCCCACCAGGACCCGGTGCAGCGACCGCAGTCGAAGGCTGCCCAGCGCATCACGCCGCCCAGTGGGCAGCGCCGGCCCCTACCTGGCAATAGAGCCGATAAAGGGGCACGGCGGCGTAGGACGCCCCCAGCATGCCTACGGCGGCCGCGGCCACGTACGTGAGCACCGTCTTGTTCCGCCGCCGCCAGTCCTCCTCTTGCGCGCGCGTGAAAGGGTTCGTGCTTTTCGGTCGGCGCCCCGGCTGTTCGGCCGGGTCCCGGCTCGGCCGTTTCCATGTCCCGAGCCGCCTCAACCCCGTCTCAGCACGTCTTGTCCCGCTGCACCCTAACCTAAGAAATGGCTCTACCCTCTCCGCAGCCCCGAACGAAGGCCCAAGGCGGCTGCAGCGCTCGCCACAGAAAGCGATCCACCTCCATCCCGGACGCCAGAGCCCTCCCATAACCCTCAGAGAGAAAGCCCGCTCGTGAGGGCCCGGGGCTCAGATCTCGCGAGGCTGGGCGATGTCTCGCGATAACTGGGTTGAGCCCGCTGCTGCCTTGACTACCGGACTCCTCAGGTGGCAGCGCTAGTAGTCAGGCTACGGAGGCCGGGTTGCCAGATGACGGGTAAGTTCGCGTTTTTCTTTGATACTGTTCTTCATACATTGCTTCCCCGCAGCGTCCCGTTAACTTACTACTAGGGAAACGGGGTTCGCGATGCAGTATGCAAGCCCGCTATCACTAGGAATGGTACCCGTAATCTTCCTAAACTCCACAAGCCTTTGTCTTGACCTAGCGGCCCCCAGCGCGAGCTCTCCCGCGTTCCTCTGATTGGCGTTCCCTGGCTGCGGCTGGCCCCTGTACTCGGCTCAAGGGTCGCTTCTGTCAGGAAACCTACGCACGGTCCTGGTATCCCCGCGACACCTGCGTTTTCTTAGCTCCCGGGCCGTCGCCTTCCGCTGCTCTCATGCCCAGTGAAAACCCGCACAGCTGGAGCGGGAGAGTCGCCCTCACGCCGTGGGGCTGGTTCAGGACGTAGTGACTAGGATGTCAGGGTCCTGTAAGACCGGAGGAGATGATGCTGTTCTTGTCCTGGCAAAGAGACTCCTGGAGGGCGAAAGAGCTTTCTTCTCGTCCCGCAGGTCCCAGCAGGACCGGAGCCGGGCAGATGGCACACAGCTCACTGTAAAAGTTTCTTTATCGAAGTTTCTACCAACACAGTAGCGTTTAAGAGCTCAGCTTCTGATGTTCTAAGGAGTTCTGGATTCTTCCCTGGGGCCTGGTCACCTGCTGTGCCCTTAGGCCAGTTATTTGCTCTTTCAGACCTAGTGGTCTTATCTGTAAAATGGGAATCGCATTTGTAAGTGACAGCCCGCGCATAGAAAGTGATTTTCACAGTGCCACATCATAGTAAGGATTTAGTGAGAGTTAGGCTTTGTTTCTGATGGCGGAGGAAGGTCTCATTATCCCAGCTTTGTGGGTGAGGGAACTGGAGGACTGAGGAACTTTCACTGAACGTCTGTTTACTCATGCACTGTTATCTGGGGACAGACACTGTGCAGCCTGGGGTTACAGCCCAGAACGAGTCACACAGGATCCCTTCTGGGATGGAGTGTCCTTCCCACTGCGGGATTCAGGAGATACTCAAGTAAGAGATGCAGAACTCAGGGGATTTCAGATAGCAATCAGTGCGGTGATGACGAAGGAATGGCATAGTGTCATTGAGAGAGGGAGGGGAAAGCAAGGTCTTTCTGAAGAGGTGACACTTGAGCCTCGTCCTGGTGGATAAGGAGCTACTTGCACAGCGACTGTTCCAGGACACGCAAAAGCCAGAAGCAGAAAAGAGCCGGATGTGACTGAAGAACAGAAAGGAGACCAGTGTGTTCCCAGCATGCTGAGCAAGGTAGAAAGTGGTGGGAAATGGCGTCGGAGTGGGTCTGCAGCGGCCTCATAGCACAGCGCCTTTTAAGCCATGTCCAAGGGCTTGAGTTTAATTCTACACGCAGTGGTAAGCTTTTGGAGTATTCCAGTCGTACAGGTGATGGGATCTGATTCAGATTTTTTCTTTTAAAAAAGATATTGGTTATTTTATGGAGAATGAAATTAAGAGCAATAGGGCAAGAATAGAAATAGAACAGTTAGGAGGCAATTGCCTTAGTCCAGGTGAGTGATGACGGTCACCTTGAGTGAGTAATTGATTAACTTAAGGTGAGGGGGCCAGGAAATTGCAGTCAAGAAAACCCAAGTATCTTCTGACTCTTTTCTAAGCAAAATTTTGGAAAGTTTTGTTTTGCTTTCATTATAAAGTTGTTAACCTGATCATCTCATGCTAATGGAAGCTTTAATTGGCAACTTTATATTTCCTGATTAAAAATCCAAATAAGCTGATTATGTTTGAGGCAGTCTTCCATTAATAAAGGTGTTCTTGATGCAAAGGACTTGGGCCATCTTCTGCTGCTTTCCCAGGCCGTAGTGGAGAGCTGGATCGGAAGTAGAATAGCCGGGACTCAAAACGGAGACCTTATGGGATGCCAAATACTGCAGGTGGCAGCTTTACCTGCTATTAACAGCATTGGCCTCTTTATTTTTTTATTGTGGTTAAAAAATAAGGCTATTCATTTCGAAAGTACAATAATCTTGATAACAATAAGGTGATCTTAATGTAGCTTTCTATTTTAACAAAATAAAATATGCATTATATATAATCGTAATTTGATAATGTAAAATTATGCTTATGCAATGCTTTTGGATAATCATTAAAATGTTGTTGCATTTCATTTATGATGAAAATATATTGTATAGAACAGAATTTAGTTTGATCTTCAAATAAATTTTTACTTTAATTTAAAATTTACATGACTGGCGCCACGGCTCACTTGGTTAATCTTCCACCTGCGGTGCTGGGTTCTAGTCCCGGTTGGGGTGCCAGATTCTGTCCCGGTTGCTCCTCTTCCAGTCCAGCTCTCTGCTGTGGCCCCAGAAGACAGTGGAGGGTGGCCCAAGTACTTGGGCCCCTCACCTGCATGGGAGACCAGAAGGAAGCACCTGGCTCCTGGCTTCGGATCAGCGCAGCGCACTGGCCACAGCAGCCATTTGGGGGTGAACCAACGGACAAGGAAGACCTTTCTCTCTGTCTCTCTCTCTCTCTCTCACTGTCTAACTCTGCCTGTCAAAAAAAATTACATAAAAGTTGCAGAAATAGTGTGAAAATGTTGTACCTATCTTTCACCTACATTCTTCAATCTTTAACGTTTTTTCAGTATTTGAGAATAGATTACAGACCTGATGTTCCAGAGCTATAAACTTAATACATGTGTGTTTCCTAATTACAAGAATACTTCATAACTACAGTGTAGATATCAAACTCAGGAAGTTACCGTTAATCCAATGTTAACAATGTATGGTGATCAGGCTAGGCTGCCATGACAAAAATACCACAGTCTGGATTGCTTCAACAGTTTTCTTACATTTCTGGAGCCTGGGAAGTGCAGGATCAGCATACCTGCTGATTGTTTTCCTGGGGAGGTCTCTTTGTCACCTGCTGCAGCCTAATTAGCCTGCTGTGTTCTCACATGGCCAGGAGGAGTGAGCAGGCTCTCATGTATAGCTTCCTTGTAAGGACACTAATCCCATTGAAACAGGCTCCCACCTTTATGACCTCATTGACCCTTATTACTCTTTTCACCCAAATACAACTTCACTGGGGATTAGGGCTTCAGCGTAGAAACTGTTGGGGACAGATACATTTGGTCCCTAACACCATGTTATCCATGGGTTCTGTTACATGACTTCATTTGTCCCAGTTATTTCTATTTTAGGTCTAGGATCCAGACCAACATTACTCATTTGTTTATAGTTTTTATGTATCCTTAGTCTTCTTAATTTAAGAATAGTTCTTCAATCTTTCCCCTCCTTTCATGACCTTGATGTTTTTGAAGATCACAGGCTGATTACTTTGTCAATGTCCCTCAGGATGGGTTTGTCTGATGTTTCCTCAGGGTTTATGAACTTTTGCTAGGAACACTGTAGAACTGATGCTGTACTCTTCTCAGTGAATCATCTTAGGAATTGCCTGATATCATTTTATTCCATGGTAATTATGTTAATTTTTATCTCTTTATTAAGGTTGTATCTACTGTGTTTCTCCCAAGATTGTTAAGCAGTTAATAGATTTTGTAAGATTGAAAATTTTATAAATATTATGTTTTTCATTAAACTTTCTCTTGCCTGATTTTGCATCCATTGATGATTCTTCTCTGAATCTGTTATTACTGAAACAGATGACAAACTGACAATTTCCTAATGTTATTACTTCTTCTAGATGTTGCTTAATTTCCATGGACTATTTGTTGCCTCTTAACATTCATTTTTTTAAGATTGATTCATTAATTTATTTGAAAGGTAGAGAGAGAAGGAGAAAAAGGGAGAGACAGATTATTCACTTGCTGGTTCACTCCCCAAATAGCTACAGCATCCTGATTTGTGCCAGGCCAAAGCTAGAAGCCAGGAACTCCATCCTGGTCTCCTCCTGTTTTCCCAGGCACATGAACAGGAAGCTGTATTGGAAGTAGGACAGCTGGGACTCAAACTCTTTCTCTCTGATATAGGATGGTGTCATTGGAAGCAGCAGCTTAACCTGCTATGCCACAGTGTCAGCCCCCTAAATTTATTAGTTGCCTTAAGTTGTAACATAGAGCTTTTCTTTCTCCTCTATATATTTTTGGTAATTTGTTTGTATCAGTTTAGAATCATAAATTCTTATTTTAATCAAGAATTCATTTTTAATATGTATTTATTTATTTGAAAGGTGGAGTTCCAGAGAGATATGGAGGGAAGGAGAGAAGAGAGAGAGAGAGGGAGAGAGAGGAAGAGGGAGGGGGAGAGAGGGAGGGAAAGGGGGGAGAGAGAGAGAGAGAGAGAGAATATCTTCTATCCACTGTTCACTATCTGAATGGTCACAGTGGTCACAGGGCAGTGCCAAGCAAAGCCAGGAGCTAGGAGCTTCTCCTGGGTCTCCCATGTGAGTTCAGGGGCCCAGGGGCTTGGACTATTTTCTGCTGCTTTCCCAGGCACATTAGCAGGGAACTGATCAAAAGTGGAGCAGCCAGGATTGAACAGGTGCCCCTATGGGATGCCGGCTCTGCAGGCCACAGTTTAACCCACTTTGCCACAGTGCTGGCCCCTGGAATTAAAATTTATTGCTGTAGTTTTTTTAATTCTGATTTCATGTTTTCCTGGATTTTGTTTCTGGAAGACCTTTTTTGACATATTCCCACCATTCTTTGATAACTTCCTTAATTTCTGCCACAATAAGAGTTTGCAGGCTCATCATATTTTCCTATCTTAGCTCTAGAGCCAGCCATTTCTGTAAGGATTTTGGTTCCTTTAGTGGAGAATAGTATTTAAAAACGAAATCTTGGTACTAAAGTACTAATTGCTTTTATTTTATTTTTTGCCCAGAAACCTTTTATATAAGGTATACACACTTCATGCATTTCATAAATACAAATTTAGGAACATAATGATTCTTCTCACTCTACCCGCCCTCCCACAAGCACTCCCACCCAACTAATTGCTTTTAGACCTTTTCAACAGGGAGAATTAGAAAGTTTGTTTATACAAACAGATATAGATATCTGTTCAGTAACAATAAATCTGGTTACCATTATCTTCAATATGTATAGTCCTTTGCCCTGTCCCACTTGCATATGAGCACATTACCTCACCTGAAGGCTTAGCCCCAGTCATCTGAGCTTATCCCTCCCTGCCTTATCAGCCCAAACTAGACACTGAACCAGCAAAACAAAACTGAAGAGAAAGAAGGAAAGAGAAAAGTCTAGGTAGGGAGTTCAGCTCCAGACATTTTAGGAGGGGTAGGAGGAAAGACGAAAGGTCAGTTAGCTTGGATTTTTTTCTGGATTCTTTATCCTTGCTGTTTTACTGCATCTTGTAAAAAGCAACTTTGCCATGAACCACAACAATAGCAAAACAGAAGTTTTCCTTTTCAAAACGAGGAAATATTTCTTTAGTTTTGTCTCTCTTAATATCATTGTTAAAGTGGTTGGAGGCATGTTTGTAAGATGACAATTTAGGATTTTATTTCTAAGCTAGAACAAGTACTTAAGACAGAGTTGAAAATAGGATCGGACCAAGGCCAAAACAGAGATCCAAAAAATTCTTAAGAGGCCTATCAGTACTCATAGGTGCAGTGACAGCAAACCTGGGAGATTTGAAATAAAACTTTACGTGAAAACATAACCTTAGGCTACAATTCTTGTGAGTATGAATGTGCTTCTGATGTTGTGTAATCATTGTGATAACTAAGGCTCAAGAATGGGTTCCTTGCATGCAATAGGAGTCTGTCCCAGCAGGGCTGGTCTAACCCGGTTCTGCAGGTAGAGGTGTTGATTACATGCTTATGATCTGAAGGATCCAACTGACATTTCAAGACTTGACACTTTTAATTTTCAATATTATTGTTCAACAACAAAATTAACCTTTGTAAATGTTGTCTACTAAGTCATGATTATGTATAATTTTATATATTAACTAAAATTTTTTTCATATAAGGTATTTATATTCATGTAATATTTTCTCATCTGATTATTGGTTTTCATGCTTTGTAAAGACTTAAGGATTATAAAGTACTATTTTAAATTTTGATTTCATTTTGATTTGTAGTTGTTTAGTATTGTGAAAGCATAATATAAATTAAGGAAATTGCAGTGCCAATCTTAATATAGTAATCACTGAACTCTACTTCCTGTTTGCCTAACAAAGCTTCTATATCCATTTAGTAATGCAAAGTATCTGCAAATTATTCCAGCAGTATTAATAACTTTGTTTGACAGCTCTTTATTACAATACTTGTACCTAAAAGAGGAAGTATAATATAATTAAATA